AAAAAAACTTCGTTTATGGATTTTCATATGAGGCTTCCCCTATGTTTGTAACACTACCGATATCTAACCCCCCAATACACGAATGCGGGGGAGTGTCATAGCATATAAACAAATAAACAAACCTTAATCGTTAGAAATTAGATATTATTTCAAGTGTATGAATCTTTTTATTTATCGTGGGTAAGATTTATTAGCGGAGCAAGCAAAGTGCTAAAAATTGTTAAATGTTTTATTCTCCAAAATCGCTAATTATTATAACGAAGGAGTAAAGGGGTCTCAGATATTTTTTCTTCGCCTTTTTATATAAAAAATTACAAATCAGAATTTATTTATAGACTTGGACGGGAAAGGACCAGAAATTGCCAGAACTTTTTATTACAAAGCAGGCCAATAGGGACGACTCAGGTACATAAGTACCTTTTTTTCAAAATAAGAATCATGGGTACCCCGCGCTTTACGTCAATTTTTACTACAATACAATGAAATATGAAGTTAGTATTAATATCACTATCTCCGATAATAACTCCAAATGTGGGTATTAACCTCCGTGAATAGTGTGAATAGTGGACCAATTCAAATAATCAATCGGTCTTCTAACTAACCCAATTAATTAATAATCCCACCTTCGATCTGCGTTCTTAAATGAACGAAAGTAGCTTAGCTAGGTAATACGTAACTGTTTGCTGGATATAGATTTCATGTAACTAACCAATCACAAAAATAAGAATATGTGCGCATTTTTTGGGTATCAAAGTACGCCGAATGGAATTTCTATTTCTAAGAATGAATCTGTCAATGCATTACGTACTAAAATCTGGGATTACTACTTCAACGAGTACGGAAATGTCTCTTTTAATCTTCGTGCGGTCGATATTGAACGTAGAGAATATGTGTATATGGAACCTGAAAAAAAAAATCAGCAATTATTTCGATAAAAGTCCTGCCGAAATCTCGTAGAGTCGGAGTCTCATGTCCTTTAGAGTCGTCCCTTCGGTTCTGCTCTGCAATAGAATCCAATGATTAGCTTTTTTTTTTACCTGTAATATTAACAGCATGTATTAAAAGCTTCGTATATATGTGATTATGACCATTTAAGACTGATTGTTTATTAATACAAGATAAAAAATACATGTTAAGCGGGAAAACTATCTACCCGCTATTTCTTAGTAATTTTTTTTATTCGAACCCTCTTACTGGCTGGAGTATTATCCACACTAATTCGGTCCTTTAATAACCCAACAATTATCCCGATTACCTTTTTCACATTACTTCGGAGAATATCGAGATTTTCTTTGACTGCTGTCTTCAAGAGATTTATCTGATACTCGCTATTACTCGTGGCATATATTCCTTCCGGGGTATATATGTGATGAAATGCCATTCCATGGCTAAAAATAAATTCACATTAGCGAGGGAAAAATCACGTGCGCGTTCCGAAAAGGAACACTGCCAAAGCAAGTTAAGTATATGACGAGAAGATGATTTTGGATACATATTTACAATGAATGTACTGTGAATTTATTTGCAAATGATCGATTATTTGTTTTTTGACATTTGTTGGTAACACAACATAAAAGCTAAACTAATTTCCATTTAGTGAATTAAATCAACAGCTCAGCATTTGGTAATCCTGGACATGGCGACGCAGGATATGATCTTCTAATATTATTCACTTTAGTGCATAATTTCATTTTCTTTGGAGTAGACATACACGCAGATAACTCATGTTGACTCTCGTCTCGAGGTCGTTTTCGGAGCCCGACACTCTTAAATGATTTTGTAGCCTGTCCTCCTGTTTGAACCATCTTTACCGTCTCTTGGACTACAGACTAACATTTACAAATATGTCAACTTTGTATAATAAAACATAGAACGAAAAGCATGAATCTAACCTTTGCATTCAGAACAGATGCCAGGATCGTTAAAACGGAATCGAATTTTTCTACTGTGTCTGGGACTTCCATCAGATCGCAACGCCGAAACCTGCAGATGTAACCTTTAGGGTTGTCAGCATATACTATTGTCATCATGAGGCCTATTACAGAATTAATGTATTGATTAAGTTACAAGCATTTGAAAAATAAGTCGCAAGTTCAGGCACATACCTGCATGAATAATGCCTATTGTTTGTATTTGTTTGCGCACCTCTTCGTTCCACTTTATTCTTTCCATCAGATTTACTAACATGTCTTTGAGCGTCTTGGGGAGTTTTAACCCAATTTCTCTAATGTACTTTGTGCCATGTTCGTCAACCCAATCCTTACCCGCCTCCCCAGCCCCAAACTCATCTTTTTTGCCGTTACCAACAGCCCTGAGAATCCAATCCCCTCTGCGACCGATTTTACGCCGTTCCTCTGATTTCCTTTTTTTATTTTTTCGTGTCGCAGTTGATATGCTTGTGCTTTCGCCCCTTGATTATAAAAAACCTAGTCAGATCAAAAGAAGCTACTTTTTAAAGATGTCGGATCGCCACACGTGGGAGAGCGTTCGTGTAACGACCTTGGGATTTAGTCGTCTTCCGGCGGAACTCTTAGGC